TAATAATAATAATGGAATGCTACACACTGAAAGATAATATCCACGAAATACAGATCTGATATTGAACTTGGATCCAGAATATAGGATGAACTTTTACAACCCAATAATAACACTTTACCAAAGAAGATAAATGGACGATGAATAAGCACATGAAAAGATGCTCACGTTATTGTTAGGAAAATTCACATTATATAAATTAAAGTCTTATTAGTATAAAATAGATCTACAACTCAGTAGCATGAAAACATACAACCTGATTTTTTAATTATTTTGAGACAGAGTCTCACTCTGTTGCCCTTCCTGGAGTGCAGTGGTGCAATCTCAGCTCACTGCAATCTCTGCCCCCTGGGTTTAAGCTATTCTCCTGCCTCAGCCTCCCCAATAGCTGGGATTACAGTCATGTGCCATCATACACAGCTAGTTTTTGTATTTTTTTTTCCCTAGGGTACATACGCAGATCATGCAAGATTGTTGCATAGGTACATTCATGGCAAGGTGGTTTGCTGCCTCCATCGCCCCATCACCTATACTGACATTTCTCCCCACGTTATCCCTCCCCACCCTCCCTCCCACCAGCTCCCCAACAATGGACCCTGGTGTGTGATGCTCCCCTCTCTTTGTCCATGTGTTCTCATTGTTCAACACCCACCTATGAGTAAGAACATGCGGTGTTTGATTTTCGTTCTTGTGTCAGTTTGCTGAGAATGATGGTTTCCAGGTTCATCCATGTCCCTACAAAGGACACGAACTCATCATTTTTTATGGCTGTGTAGTATTCCATGGTGTATATGTGCCACATTTTCTTTGTCCAGTCTACAATCGATGGGCATTTGGGTTGGTTCCAGGTCTTTGCTATTGTAAACAGTAGAGATGAGATTTCACCCTGTTGGTCAGGCTGGTCTTGAACTCCTGAGCTCAAGTGATCCCCCTGCCTTGGCCTCCCAAAGTGCTGGGATTGTGGGCACTAGCCACTGCACCTGGCCACATATAACCTGATTTTAAAATGGGCAGGTCCACCTTCAGCCTGGTGTGTGGTGAGTGGTCCTGGATGGGCCAGGGCACTGTGATCGCAGGAAGAGGCACGGGGTGCAGTCTTTAAAACATAACATAAAAATGGCTTCCAAAAGAGCTCTGGTCATCCTGGCTAAAGGAGCAGAGGAAATGGAGACGGTCATCCCTGTAGATGTCATGAGGTAAACTGGGATTAAGGTCACCATTGCAGGTCTGGCTGGAAAAGACCCAGTACAGTGTAGCCATGATATCTTCATTTGTCCTGATACCGGTCATGAAGATGCAAAAAAAGAGGAACCATATGATGTAGTGGTTCTACCAGGAGGTAATCTGGGTGCACAGAATTTATCCGAGTCTGCCGCTGTGAAGGAGCAGGAAAACCAGAAGGCACTGATAGCTGCCATCTGTGCAGGTCCTACTGCTCTATTGGCTCATGAAGTAGGTTTTGGAAGTAGTTACAACACACCAACTTGCTAAGGACAGAATGGTGAATGGAGGTCATGACACCTACTCTGAGAATTGTGTGGAAAAGGATGGCCTGATTCTTGTAAGCCGGGGGCCTGGGACCAGCTTTGAGTTTGTGCTTGCAATTGTTGAAGCCCTGAGTGGCAAGGAGGTGGCGGCTCAAGTGAAGGCTCCACTCATTCTTAAAGACTAAAGCAGGGAAATGTGACGAGTTAGGCATCCATTCTCACTGTGTTTGTGCTAAACAAAGCAAGGGTAGGTTAATGTGTTCAGAAGCCGCCATCATTACTGCTTTTGCAGAAGTAGAGTTGTGAAGTCACAACTACACAGAGATTTATCAACCTGCAAATTGTGTCTGTACATTTCTAAGCCTTGATTGCAGAATGAACAGGGCGTTTAGCAAACTAGAAATAAAAAACGAAAATGGGCAAAGCAGGAGTTCAAGACCACCCTGGGCAGCATAATGAGACTCTATCTCAAAAAAAAAAAAGCAGGGACAAAGGACCTCAATTGACAATTACCCAAAAAAAGACATAGGGCACTCTGGCCCACTCTGCCTATGGGACAGTCCTGCTTTGTCAATGGAGCAGCCATTCTGTTGCACCATGTTCCTCTAATAAACTTGCTTTCTTTAAAAAAAAAAAAAAAAGACAAAAAAATGGCCAATAAGCATATGAAAATATGTTCAACATCATTAATCATCAGGGAAATGTAAACCAAAACCACAATGAGCTGTCCCCTCACACCTGCTGGAAGGGCTATTATCAAAAAGAAAGGTGATAACAAGGTTATGGCAAAGGTGTGAAGAAAAGGGAACCCTTACACACTATTCATAGGAAGGTAGATTAGCACAGCCATTGTGGAAAATAGTATGGAGGCTCCTAAGAAAATTAAACATGAAATTACTATGACCCAAGGATTCTCTTCTGGGTATATACCCAAAGGAACAGAGCTGCCACATTGAAAAGATATCTGCACTCCCATGTTCACTGCAGTATTACAGCAGCCAAGATACGGAAATAACCGAGGTGTCCATCATTGGACAAATGGATAAAGAAACTGTGGTATGTACAGTCATGTGCTGCATAACAGTGTTTCAGTGAATGATGGGCCACATATACAACCGTGGTCTCACAAGGTTATCATACCATATCTTTACCTTTTCTATGTTTAGATACACAAATATTCACCATTGTGTTCTGACTGCCTGCAGTATTCAGAACAGCCACATGCTATACAGGTTCGTAGTCAAGCAGCAATAGGCTACGCCATATAGCCTAGGTATGTAGCAGGCTATCCCATCTAGATTTGTGGAAGTATATCCTATGACGTTCACACAACAAAAATTGCCTAACAACACATTTCCCAGAATACAGCCCCATCACTGTATCTATAGTGGAATATTATTCAGCCTTAAGAAAGGAGGAGATCCTGCCATTTGCCACAATAGGGTTGGCCCTGGAGGACATTATGCTAAGTGAAATATGCCATGCACAGAAGGAAAAATCTTGCATGATCTCACTTATATGTGAAATCTAAAAAAAACCAAAAGGCCAAATTGAGGAGACAGAAAATAAAACAGTGGTTACCAGAATTGGGGTGGAGGTGGGAGGAAGTGGGGTGACATAGGCCAAATGATACAAAGTAGCCTTGTATAGGACTAAGAAACTGAAAGCTCTAATGTGCATGAGGATTATAGTTAATAGTGTATTGTATTCAGGATTTTTGCCAAATGAGTAGATTATTACGGCCCTTGCCAGAGGAAAGATAAAAATGGCAATTCTGTGAGATGACGGATATGTTAATTTGTTTCACTATGGTAACCATTTTACTATATATCTATCTTATAATGTCATGTTATAAACCCTAAATATATACAATAAAATTTATTTTAAATAAATAAATTAATAATAATTGTTTTGCTCTTATGGAGCCCTGAAAAAACTCTAGAGGATCCCCAGGGCTCAGCAAACCACACATTGAGAATTGCTGATCTAATGCATAATTTGAGAAAACATTCCAAAACTAAAGGACATAAATTTCTACACTGAAAGACAGGCCGGGTGCGATGGCTCATGCCTATAATCCCAGCATTTTGGGAGGCCAAGGCAGGTGGATCATGAGGTCAGGAGTTCAAGATCAGCCTGGCCAACATGGTGATACCCCGTCTATACTAAAAATATAAAAATTAGCTGGGCATGGTGGCAGGCGCCTGTAATCCCAGCTACTCAGGAGGCTGAGGCAGGAGAATTGCTTGAAACTGGAAGGCAGAGGTTGCAGTGAGCCGAGATCATGCCATTGTACTCCAGCTTGGGTGAAAGAGTGAAACTCCGTCTCAAAAAAAAAAAAAAAAAAGAAAGGGCCAATTAGGCCCTGTAAAATAGGTAAACATAGGCCAACATCAGGCTTAGCATCATGAAAGAAATTATAAAACACTGGAGACAGATCTTATCAACTCCCAGAGATAAAAATAGGCCAAACCCAAAGATCAAGGACTCAGGATGACTTGGGTACTCAACAGCAACATTAGAGCCCAAAAAGCAATAGGCAGTGCCTTCAAAATTGTGAGGGAAAGGGACAGCCACAGTGACTCACACCTGTAATCCCAGCACTTTGGGAGGCCAAGGCAGGTGGATCACTTGAGGTCAGGTGTTCAAGACCAGCGTGGCCAACATGGTGAAACTCCATCTCTACTAAAAATAAAAAATTAGCTGGGGGTGGTGGCGTGAGCCTGTTATCCCAGCTACTCAGGAGGCTGAGGCAGGAGAATCACTTGAATCTGCGAGGCAGAGGTTGTAGTAATCCAAGATCATGCAACTATACTCCAGCCTGGGCAAAACAGTGAGACTCCATCTCAAAACAAACAAGCAAATTTTGAGGGATTGTGAGAGAACATGGATTCTAAGCTAGACTTTCACATCCAGGCAAACAATTAAGAGTGAGGATAGATATTAAGACATTTTCAGACAACCAGGGTCTCAATGACTTAACCTCCTATGCAACCATTGTCAAAAGGTGAGTGGAGGAGGGACTCCACTAAAGGAAGTGAACCAAGGAAGAAGATACCTGGAACCTGGAAAGCAAAGGAGCTGATTGAGGGAGAAGCAGAGCGAGCCTCTGCAAGACAGTGAAGATGACAGCTATGCACCAAGCCTGGAGAAACACCAGAGTGCCAGGAGCAGGGCACAGAGAACCACAGGGAGAGAGAATCACAGCCCAGAGCCAGGACTGCAGGATCCAGCTGCCCCACTCCAGAATAATCTTCTCTTCCACAGCTCTTTCTCAAGAGACATCTCTCTCTCTGGGCTGCTCCCCAGAAACAGATTGGAAAGCCACCCTCCTCCATGCTCAGGCTGGCGCCTGCCTTCACCTCTCCCTGGTGCAGAGGCTTTATCCTGCCCTCTCCTTTCCCTTCTGCCCCTGGTCCCACAGCCACAGCCACATCCCCACAGGCTCATTTGGGACCCCAAGCCAATTGGCTGTGCTGACCCCAGGAGGCGGGGTGGGGAGGGCGGGAGGCCCACCTTGGGAAACATGGCCACCATGCTGCTCAGGCACTCCCGGCGCTTCTCCTCCAGGACCCTCTGCTTGTCTGTCCAGGCCTGCAACCTGAGGACCTGCAGGTGGTTAATGTTTTTCAAGAAGATGTGGAGGTTCTGGGCCTTGTAGGAAGCCCCCGTTTCTCTCGTGATTTGTATATGGTTGAACACTTCTTGCCTGGGAAGAGAAGAGAAGCGATTTAGGGGGTGGAGAGGCCTCCTCCATCCCCCAAGTCTGTTAACCAGAGATGACTTTGTTTTCTTTAATTTCTCAGAGCAAAAAGAAATGGGAGGCTGTTGAGAGCTGGGGAAAATGGGGCAGAGAAAAATGGGAGGTGATATCAGGTGAAGAGCCTCGGGGCTGGGATGAAACAGGAAAAGAAAAGAAAGGAAGACAGGGGAGCACATTATGTGGGTTATGGGCAGGGCCACGGGAAGACAGGAAGAAAGAGGGAAGTGGCTTAGAGGAAAAGCCCCCACAGGGAGAGCAGCGGTCAGTGCCCTTCCTCCTGCACCTTCAGAGGTTGCCCAAGGCCTCAGGCCAGACTTGCTTTCCTGCCCTGCCTCAGGAGACCTTGTCCAGGCCTGGGGTGGCTCTCCCCATCCCCCACTGCCCTGTGTTCCTTCTCTCCCACTGGGTTTAGGCTCTGCCCACATATTGTAGTGGGTGGGTGCCAGGTGGGTTCCAGGGAGGACCTACCGGAGGCTCTGGAGGCGTCTGTAGAAGATGTACTTATGGCACAGGTACTGCAGCCTAAACGTGCCCAGCTCCATGGTGGTGGTGGTGAGCTCCAGCGCCTTGCTGCGCAGGTAGTGGGGCAGCCCCAACGCAGACTCCTCACTCAGGAGCTGCAGGTTCTTCCTCTGGGCCTCCATGTCCATGTGGTACACCTTCTTCTTAAGAGTTGCAGGGGATATCTGCAAAGAGGGCCGGGCCAGCCTTTGGATGGATGTCCCAGTGATAGGAAAGGAGGCAGATTTCTTGGGCCTCGTGGGAACTTGGTGGGCTCGTGATCTGTGGGTAGACGCCACTGAACTCATAGGTCTCTGCTTTCCCAGGGCAGGCTGCAGGGTACTAGGAGATGTGTGCAAGTGTGGCCTCCGGCTTTGGTGAGCAGATTGGGCCCGACTGGGGGTAGGCACTAAGGATAGCTCTGTCTTCTCCAAGTCCCTCCATCGACTGGTAACTGTGAAGATCCTCCTCTCCACATCCTCCCCTTGCTGCTCCAGCTCTCTCCTTGGGCTCTCCTGCTCCTTTTCCAGCTGGACCCATTTCCGCTGCTGCTCCCTGGCCAGGTCTTCCAGCTTCCACTGCCGCAGCTTCTCCTGGTGCTCCTGCTCCAGCAGGGCCCACTTCTTCTGCCGCTGCTGCCACATCTCCTCCTCCTCCAGCCACAGCTGCCTCCGCTTCTCCCAGCTGAGTTCCTCCTCCCAGGGCTCCTCTTGGCTCTCCGAGGGCACCTGCCTGGAGCTCTCTAGAGACAGCTGCTCCTTAGAATGGAACTTAATTTGGAGTCCTCCCTTCTCCTGGAAGTAGTCCTCCTGGTCTTCGTCTTTGTGGCTGGAGCTTTCTGCCGCCGGTCTGTCCCATTTCTTAGGAAGCTTGTGATCCACTGAGGGTAGAAACACAGGCTCAAGGCTCTCGGTGTCCTGGCTGCTGAACACATCTGCGACCCTCGAGTGCATAGTCATGGTGGAAAGCGGCTGGTGCCCTGCAGCTGTAGCACAATTGTCCTGCGCCGTGGCCATGGGACCTGGGGGAAGTGGTGAGAACAACTGCTCCTTTGTAGATTCCTGTTGGGTTTCCTCCGTGACTGTTTCTTTCCTTGGCAAGGTCTCTCTCTCAGGGGTACCCGGGGAGTCCACAGAAACCTCAGCCAGGTCTTCTGCTTGACCTGTAGCAGTCTGAGCCTTCTTCAATTGGAACTCCAAGGCCTGCTTCTTCAGGAGAATGTCATGGTACCTTCCCCCTAGGATCTCTACTTGCTTCAGCAGAGCATCGCTCCTGCTCTCAAGGACTTGCACAAACTGCTGGAAGTGCAGCCTCTGGCTGCTGAGCTCTTTGGTCGCCTGCATTTGCAGGCGCCTGTATTTGGTCTCCAGGCTCCTGTTCTCCTTGTGTTGGAGGATCAAGGCCTTGTTGAGGTTCTCCACCATAGCGGCCATGTACCTGATGGCCCTGACCTCCCCCTTGCTGAACATGGTCGAGTCCAGGAGCTCCTGCAGCATGGACGTCACCTCCAAGGCCTTCGTGTTCATGCTATGCTGGTCCTGGAGCATCTGTTCTGGGCTCAGTGGCTGAGGATGGGGTGGAGATGTCTGTGGGCTTCTTCCCCGCCAGCCCTGCCAGAAAGTGCGTTCGGACACTGGGAGAGGAAGAGAGAAAAAAGTCAGTGACCTCTCATGGGTCCCAAGGATCACACTGATTCCCCAAATCCTGCATGGCCAAAGTGGCAACGCCCTTAGGGATTTGGCAAAGAGAATGGAGCTGGGGCCGTATGTGGGGCCAGGGATGGTGCTGTCAGGACAGACCTCTGCTGGGTGCAGAGCTTGCCAAGAGCCCAGCCTCGGGGGTCTACCAGCTCCACTGCACCTGCAGAGCCCAGAGGGGCCTGGTGTAGGCAATCCAGCGCAGCTCACTGCAGCATCCTCCTGGTCCTCCATGTTCTCCTGGGGTAGAGTCATTTTTCTAATCATGCCACTTCCCGGCCTCAGCGTCTGTGTTTGCCTCCTATTGTCAGCTACCCAAACCCCTTACACCCATCCAGGAAGCCTGGTTTCCCTTTCCTATTAGCACTGGACTGCGTGGAGAATTTATCACATGGTCCTCTAACTGTTCATGTTTTATGTTGGTTTTTTTTAATAACTAATGTTTTTTTTTTTTCCATTTTGGGGATCCCAAAGTCCTTTGATACTCTGAAGAAAGCAGCAGACCCTCTCTTCCCAGGAAAATGCGCTACACACAGATTGTGCCCGCCGTATTCAAACCCACAGCAGCTCTCCATTTCTCAGAGGCTGGGTCATGGTGGTCTTTGTGCCCCCTCGGACCCACTATGTATAGAGCTGGTGGAGTGATTATCTTGGAGCACCCATTCCTCTGCCTGTTTCATAAACATCACTGCTAGAATGAACAGTGCTAACTTCAGATGAGGGGTAGAGGAAATATAAAAATTAAGGGATACTGAAGTTGGGCTAGCATCCAGCTAGTATTGTCAGAGAGGCCACGTGGCCTAGTTGCCCAGAGCTTAGATTCTGCAGTCAGATAACTTGGGTTTGAATCCCATCTTTTCCATTTGCCTTGGACAATTTTCCTAACTTCTCAGTGTCTCAGTTTCCCAATGTGAAAAATGGGGATAATCATAGAATCTATGTCATAGGACTTAGATTATGCATGTTTAGTGCCAAGTGCAGTAACAGGTACCTAGTAAGTGTTCAATAAATCATCCCTAAAAAGAAATAAATAAAGACACCGTCTTTACCATTCAGAAGTTTATAATCTAGCAAGGGACTAAGTATACAATAAGTGTATTTGAAGACATAGTACTGTACAGATTGCAGGAGAGATTGCCTCCTTTTCCACTTTCCCCTGCCTTCACCCTCCTGCTGACCTTGATTGATAATGGGGCTGGCCATGAGGAACAATGGTAAATGCTGATGGTTAACTATTGTCAATTAAGCCCTGAGCATGTTCCAAGCACGGTGTCAGACACCTCACACTGTGTGGAAGCCTCCCCACAAACCTGCAGCTACACAGTACCCTCCTCTGTTTATATACAAGGAAACTGAGGCTCAGGGAGATAAAGTCCTTGCCCATAGTGATACAACCAGAAATTAACAGAGATGCAGTTCAAACTCTTGAGTGAGATTAAGCAGCTAGAAAACCTATGTGTGGGGCCACAGGCTTTCCTTGTGGTCCCTTCTCTTCTCTGAGCTTCAATGTTCTCATCTACGAAATGCAAGAGTTCGATAATCTCAGGTTCTCCGAATGTTGACGGGAGTAAAAATCCAAGGTTCAACTGTTTGCTGATGGACCACCTCTGCAGCAGCCTCCAGCCGAGCCTCCCGAACCTTCTTGGCTCTGCTGCTGGGTTTGGAATGAGGAGAGGATGGTCCTCAGGCCCCAGCTGCTAACTCCAGCCCTCCAGGCCCCCCAGCTTTGTTCCTCAGAACCCGCATAAGACCACAGCTCCAGTGAGCATGCCAGGGACGTGTCTCTACATCACACCGCCCTCAGCCCTGGAGGACAGCTCAGAGCTGCTCAGTGCTTAGCCTGGGCTCAACCCCAGCCACTAACCACTGCCCATCCATCTCAAATCAAGCTTCTGTGATGAAGGAGGATTAGAAAGATCCCAGACCCCGCCTGTGACTTCTTCCTCTGCCATGGCATCCACCCCATCCTCACCCAGCTCCCTGCCCAGGTGTTCCTAGAACCTACCTTGTGACCTTTTCTTTTGTCCTTCAATAAGAGTGGAGCAAAGAGCAGTGAGTGACTCGATGCCTCTTTTGGTGGCAATGAGGGAGAGCGGTAGCACTTTCTCCGTCACCTCAATCCATTCATCCAGGGCTGCTTCTTCCTCTTCACTCTTCCTGGGCCCGATCTCATAGGTCAGAGTGTCACCTGGAGAAGGGATGGAGGAGCAGGCTGAGAGCACCCTGTCCTCCAGGGGGACCCAGACAGCCCTAGAGCACAGAGGTTACAGCGGCTGTGAGGTCACACTGATTTTACCTCTTACTAGATACGTGGTGTTGGGGAAGTCACTTACTCCCCTGAGCCTCAGTTTTCTTTCCTATAAAAGAATTGGGTGAAGATTAAGTGAGATAATACATGTGGAACAATTAACATGAGGACTGCCATGTAGAAATTCACAATGGGCATTTTATTTTTTTTGAGATGGAATCTTGCTCTGTAGCCCAGTGGAGTGCAGTGGCGCGATCTCGCCTCACTGAAACCTCCACCTCTCAGGTCCCAGTTCAAACAATTCTCCTACTTCAGCCTCCCAAGTAGCTGGGATTACAGGCATGAGCCACCATGCCCAGCTATTTTTTGTATTTTTTAGTAGTGATGGGGTTTCGCCATGTTGGCCAGTCTGGTCTTGAACTCCTGACCTCGTGATCTGCCGGCCTTGGCCTCCCAAAGTGCTGGGATTACAGGCATGAGCCACCGCACCCGGCCTACAATGGACATTAAATAATACTGTTGTCTGTACAGCAGGGAGGTATCTGACTTGTTATTGCTCTATGTCCATTATCTGGTCCAACATCTGGACAACTGAATTAATTAAGCAGAGTCAACAGCTCTCTCAGTCTTGAGGGCAACTGAGGGACCACTGATCTGAGAGCTTCCAGGCATAGGATAGCATGTTGGGGGGCAGGTCACCATCCTGATACCATCTTCCAACACTGAAGCATCCAGCACACAGCACAAAGGTCCTCTGATGGAATGACTCTGAGCTGAATGGGGAGTAGCACCTGGCTTTAGGGATTAATGCAGCTAGCCCACACCCAAATGGCTCTACCAGTTGCTCACAGTTGGTATCAGGGCCCATGCAGTAAAGGTCATTCAGTGTTTGAATGTCACCCAGGGGTGCTCTATAAAATAGCTAATGTGGGTTTGAATTTAGTTCCTATCCCACTCAAAAACAAGATGTCATAATGGACTTGTGACTTAGGCTTCATCATATATTCAGCTAATGTCATGATCTGTGATGTTTGGACACTTCTGTGTCTGCCCCTCAGGGGCATGGAGGTGATGTGCTATGACATGAGTGGTGGAATGCGTTACTGGAGAAGGGGATGTGTCCTGTGCTGTCCCTGTGCTCCCCTCCCAGAGAAAGCACAGTGCCCAGCCTGCAAACTCACCCCAGTCACCCAGCCAGTGGAGAATGTCATACAGGTGCTTCTCCTTCATCTTAGCATCTTTGGAGAAGGAGGCAATTTTGTCCAGCAAGATGAATCTCTTCTTGGCCTTTGGATCTGTCTGGTGAGATTTTGCCTTTTCTTTTAAATCATATCCTAATTTTTCCTGGAAGCAGTTGATAACACAATTGACGTTGTCTGAAATGTGTGAGAGCCGAGTAGAAATATCCTATAGAGAAGCAACAGATTGTAGTGTTAGGGCTGTGGACTCTGCAGCCAGAAGCCACATGCTAGCAGTGTGACCTTGGACAAGTCGCTTAGCCTCTTGCGGTCTCAGTTTTCTTATATTTAAAGTGGAAATCATTATCATACCTATGTCACAGGGTTTCCTGTAAGGATTAAATGAATTAATATTTTAAAGTGCTTTGACCAGTAGTACTTGGCACATCACACAAAAGGATTAGCTCCTATTATCATTGTGATTATTAAGAAGGTCAAGAAAGAATAGAATACCAAAACCCCACAGCAAACATTTCCTTAGAATTTCAGATGTTGCTGGGGGTTTCTGGATGTCTTTTCTCACAAGGATCCACAGGCAACAGAAGCTTGGAAGTGAGGCCCCAAGAAACCCTAGGATCAGAGGCTCAAGTAAAAAATGTAGCACAGGCGGTGTACAGGGTGATTTGAGCCTTTGGCCATTTCCCCAACCCCCATGAACTTCCTGGGGTCAGCTTGGGGGATTCTGGAGGGTTGCCAAAAACAGATTCTGGGTCCCTTCTCCTGCCCTCTAGGACCCACCATGATGTGCCTCAGGGCTATCCTTGAGCTTCCTGCCCCCTTCCCTGGGGGCTGCCCCTTTCTGGCCCCAGCCCTGCCTTAGGCAGGTGGTTGCTTTCAGCCCACCCTGCAGAGGCCAAGTTTAGGAGACAGGTAATTTATACTAATCTGTCTGCAGACCTGGGTTGCTGATATCCTAGGACCCCCAGGGACCCAGAGCTGGAATCTCTTTCAAACCTGGGGTCAGTCCCTAGCCTCCGTATCAGATCTCAATGTAAGCGTGATTCCTTCATTTCAGGGGGTACCTCTTGAGCACGAGTTAGCTGGGCAGCCTCAATCCTCAAGATGATGGCTTTCACTGATGTAGGAGTCGCCAACTGTGGGGGGTCATCTTTCTCCATTTTGGATCACTCTGTCAGTCACAAGATATCCTGTGTCTCTGGTCCACAGGCCTGGACACATAGTGTTGTCTGCTTTGAAGGTTAAGGGCACCAGGGTGTCTTCTGGGTACCCTCTGCCCAGGCACAGCTCCTCCGGTAACTGTCAAACGCCAGGTTCCAACTGATCTTCTTTTCCCAGTGACATCATCAGTTTGATTATAAGAATTACATGCCCCACTACCTAGCTTTTTGTCCATTACCTAACATATATTTGTTTGACTTGTTGCTTTATAAAAATTACTAAATGTTGTGTTCCCAAACAAAACATTAATGTCTAAAAATAAGAAAAAGCAATTAGCAAAAGTTATTTTCCCAAAGAAAATATTTTGAATTTCTAAAAATTAGAGCCAATCAAGAACCAAATGGAGGCCAGGCTCAGTGGCTTATGTCTGTAATTCCAACAATTTGGGAGGCCGAGGTGGGAGGATCACTTGAGCCCAAGAGTTTGAGACCAGCCTGGGCAACATGGTGAGACCCTATCTCTACAAAAAAAAAATTAAAAATAGGCTGGGTGCGATAGCTCACACCTGTAATCGCAGCACTTTGGGAGGCCCAGGAAGGCAGATCACAAGGTCAGGAGTTTGAGACCAGCCCGGCCAATATGGTGAAACCCCGTCTCTACTAATAATACAAAAATTAGCTGGGCATGGTTGTGGGCACCTGTAACCCCAGCTACTTGGGAGGCTGAGGCATGAGAATCGCTTGAACCTGGGAGGAAGAGGTTGCAGTGAGCCAAGATCACACCACTGTACTCCAGCCTGGGCGACAGAGTGAGACTGTCTCAAAAAAAAAAAAAATTTTTTTTTTTTTTTTTTTTTTTTTGGACGGAGTTTCACTCATGTTACCCAGGCTGGAGTGCAATGGCGCCATCTCGGCTCACCGCAACCTCCGCCTCCTGGGTTCAGGCAATTCTCCTGCCTCAGCCTCCTGAGTAGCTGGGATTACAGGCATGTGCCACCATGCCCAGCTAATTTTTTGTAGTTTTTAGTAGAGACGGGGTTTCACCATGTTGACCAGGATGGTCTCAATCTCTTGACCTCATGATCCACCCGCCTCGGCCTCCCAAAGTGCTGGGATTACAGGCTTGAGCCACCGCGCCCGGCCAATTTTTTTTTTTTTTTTTTTTTTTTTAAATAATAGCCTGGCATGGTGGAGCATGCTTGGAATCCCAGCTACTTGAGAGGTTGAGGCGGGAGGATCACTTGAGCCCAGGAGGTCAAGTCTACAGTGAGCCATGTTCATGCCACTACACCTCAACCTAGGTGATAGAGACCCTGTCTCTCTCTCTCTCTCTTTCTCTCTCTCTCTCTGTCTCTCTCTCTCTTACACACACACACATGCATGTGCGCACACACACATACACAAGAGGGAGGGACATCCCATAATAATAAAGGTATCAATTAATAAAGGGGATATAATTTTAACTGTGTATATACCTAATAACATTGCTTCAAAATACGTGAAGCAAAAAGCTTCCAGACTGAAAGGAGGAATAGATAAATCCAAAATTATAGTTGGAGATTCCAACATTTCTCCTGCAGGAGTTGACAGAAGTAACAAAAAATAATTAACATATAGAGGTTTTGAAAACTACTATCAACCAACTTGACTTCATTGACAGTCATGAAACACTTCACCCAACAACAGGACACATATTATTCCCTATACATATGGAACAGTGATCATATAGACCATAATTTGGGCCATAAAACAAGTATCAATTAATCTAAGAAGGCTAAAATCATACAAAACATGTTCTCTGACCACTATGGTATTAAACTATAAATCAATAATTGAGAGATCTTTGGAAAATTCCCAAATATTTTACAAATTAAGCAATATACTTCCATATAACCATAAGTCAAAAAGGAAATTGCAGGGAAAGTTATGAAATACTTTGAACTGAGTAAAAATAAAAACATCAAAATTTTGAGGATGCTGCCAAATCAATGCTTAGAGGAAAAAACTAGAAAAGGAAGACAGAAAAACCCAAAATAAGCAGAAGGAAGGAAACAATAAGGATAAGAATAGAGCCCAATAGAATAGAAAACAAACAAAAATAGAAGAAAATCAATTCAACTAAAATCTGATGTTTTGAAAAGATTAATACAATTGATAAAACTCTAGCCATATTTCCCAGGACATCACTACAGACTCTACAGTGGGAATAGTGACAGAGCATCATGAAAACCTTTATGCCAATAAAGTTGGTAAATTAGATGAAATGGGCAAATTCTTTAACATACACAACCTATCAATGCTCACTAAAGAAAAAAAAGCTCTGAATATCCATAAATCTACTAAAGAAATTGGATTTGTAATAGAAAACCTTTCCCTTAAAGAAAACTCCAGCCCCAGATAGTTTAATTGGCAAGTTCTACCAAACATTTAAGGAAAACAAGATATAATTCTATAACAACTCTTTCAAAAAATTGAATAGTAAAGAACACCTCTCGGCTGGGCGCAGTGGCTCATGCCTATAATCGCAACACTTTGGGAGGCCAAGGTGGTTGGATCACGAGGTCAAGAGATTGAGACAATTCTGGCTAACATGGTGAAACCCTGTCTCTACTAAAAATACAAACATTAGCTGGGTATGGTGGCTCTTGCCTGTCAAACCAGCTACTTGGGAGGCTGAGGCAGGAGGATCACTGAGTCCAGGGAGGTTAAGGCTCCAGTGAGCCGTGATCACACCACTGCATTCCAGCCTGGGCAATAGAGCGAGATTCCATCTCAAAAAAGAAAAGAAGATATACAAATGGCGAATAAGCACATAAAAAGATTCTGAACTCATTAGTCATTGCATTAGGGAAATGCAAGTTAAAACCATGAGATCCCAGCTCTGATAAGAATGACTCAGGATTAAAAAGTGTGACAATAACAAGTGTTCTGGCAAATGGATAAACAAATTGTAGTATGTCCATGCGATGAAATATACCATTTCACATTTCAAAGGAATGAACTACTGACACATGCAATGACATGAAAAATTTCAAAAGCATTATACTAATGAAAGAAGCCAGACACAAACTCCTAGGAACTATGTAATTACACTCATATGAAATTCTAGGAAGGCAAAACGATAGTTGCAGAAACCAGATCAGCAGATCCCAGAAGCCAGGTCAGCAGAGAGGAGACTGACTGCAAAAGGGCACAATGGTATTTGAGTAAAAGAAATGATGACAGTGATGGTCACATGACTGGATACATTTGTGAAAACTCATTGTATTGTACACTTAAAATTGATGAATTTTATTATATGTAAATTATACCTCAATAAAGTTGATTTTTAAAAAATACAATGTTTTGTAATACTCTAGACTGTGGGGGGATTGTGGGTAGCCAGGGAAAAGGGCTAGAAGTTAGGGAGGTACTGGAGGGTGTTAGGAAATAACTCTTCCTGCTTTCTCATTGAGGAGTCTCCTTTATTTGCATACCCTTCTCCCCTGGGACTGGGAAGCTCCCTCTTGTAGACAAACTCCCTCTTAGCCCCTCTTACAGGAGCAGCGTGGTACCTGGCTACAACACCTCCACTACAGTTCAAAGGCCAGGGTTTGGTAATCAGTATCCTGGGAGAGATGTTTACAAACTTTAAAACAAACCAACAAAAAATCAGCTTCTCAAACAAAGCTTTATGCAGTCTTTCACTAACCAAAACAAAAGCATTAATTATTTTGGCAGGAGGTGGTAGCTCACACCTGTAATCCCAGCACTTTGGGAGGCCACGGCAGGCAGATGGCTTGAACCCAGAAGTTTGAGACCAGCCTGGGCAAAATGGTGAAACCCCATCTTTACAAAAAATACAAAAATTAGCCAGGGTGGTAATACATGCCTGTAGACCCAGCTACTCAGGAGGCCGAGGTGGGAGGATCACCTGAGCCTGGGAGGCAGGGGCTGCAGTGAACCTAGGCCACACCACTGCACTCTATCCTGGGTGTCAGAATGAGACCCTCCCTCAAAAAAAAAAAAAAAAGCAATATTTTATTGGTATACATTTACATTATAAGTTGAACTTCATGATATCTATTATAAAGTCATATAATGTCAACAGGCCTGTTTTCATGAACCCAGAAATGTGATATTCATTGTATATATATATTTTTTCTTTTTTTTTCTTTAAGTTTGGTAGAAGCCCATCATATGTATATTCTTTTTTTTTTTTTAAAGATGGGGTTTCTCCATGATGGCCAGGCTGGTCTTGAACTCCTGACCTCAGGTGATCCACCCACCTCAGCCTCCCAAAGTGCTAGGATTACAGGCATGAGCCACTGCGCCCGGCCCATATGTATATTCTTAAACTACTGTTTTAAAACCAGTTAAAATATACATTCTGGGTAAAAAAAATAGTAGTTTGAACATAAGCATCCAAATTTGTACATGGAAAACCCATATAGCAAAGGAATTTTTTTTTTTTTTTGAGACAGTGTTTCTCTGTCAACAGCCAGGCGCCAGGCTGGAATGCAGTGGCATGATCTCCACTCACCGCAACCTCCGCCTCCTAAGTTAAAGCAATTCTCCTGCCTCAGCCTCCTGGGTAGCTGGGACTACAGGCACATGCCACCATGCCCAGCTAATTTTTTTTGTATTTTTAGTAGAGATGGGGTTTCACCATGTTGGCCAGGATGGCCTCGATCTCTTGACCTTGTGATCTGCCTGCCTCAGCCTCCCAAAGTGCTGGGATTACAGGCTTGAGCCACCGTGCCCGGCCAGCAGAGGAATTTTTAAAGGCATAAATCCATGAGGATAGGGAAACAGGAGAAGAGGCAAGAGCAAAATATTTCAGAAGTGGAAACCGATGGATTAGAGGTTACTCACTTATACGAGAGAAGGACAGATCCTAAGGCAGCGGCAGAACCATATGGCAAACAGAATTGGTTGTGCCATACCAGAGTCTCCTTCGTCTGACCACCCTGAGAAGGAAAACCTAGGAATGTTGACATCAGAAGTTCCCAGCCAAATCA